GTGCGTTCAGGGGTCGGAGGGTGGCGGCACTGCTTAGCGCTCTGGTTGGTTGAGCCCATCTGTCACTCAAAACGGGCCAACCTGTGGTCCCCCGGTCACCATCTAGCCGTGTGACAGAATTATGAAAATTCCTGTCTATTGCTCATTGGCCCAGTTGATTTACCAGCAGCGCCTCGTTCCACGGAAGGTTTTTAAACGGCTGATTTAAGGCGCACACATTCACACACATTCACACACACACACCTCCGCCTTGAATGAGGCTTCGCATGGCTATTTATTCCCACCATTTGCCAAACAGGAAGATATTGTCTGCCTTTTCATACGACTCTTGTTTTGATAGATTTTTGATTGAGTTATTCTCAGTGTTGCCGTTCGTGTTTGTGTCTTTGTATCTTAATATGCCGCCAAGGCTTTTGTTTTCATCACACTGTTTCTGCAGTTTATGGTGAATTATTTGCTTCACAGGACGTCTATTCTGCGTCATTTCTCCCTACAGCACTTCACATCTGTTGTCATTTCATTACAGACATTTATTTGACACTGTGTGCCTGCCAAGACACTCTGGATAAATCACACTGTTATTTTGTCTGCTTCCCCACACCTGAGTGGAAGGAAAAGGCAGAAAATGGTCTTATTTTCTACTTCCAGCAGTTATTTTTATTGGTGTAACCAGCAGCACAGCAAGTCTGTTTATCACTAAGCATATTCTCAGTCAAAGAGAATCAGGTTTCAGCGAGCTGGTGTGTACTCAGCGGGTACAGTACATTCATACAGTCGGCCCCGGCGATCAAACAGAAGCTGCATTTGAATGACTCTTTCTTCCCTCCCAAAGCCACAGTGACAGGTTGCTACTTGTTAGACCTCCAGTCTGCCCGCGGTCTCTGTGCTTATTTGACTGACTGACTGGCGGTATTTCTGCCTCTTCTGTCTTTTCTGCTCGCTTTACCTGATTGCCTGTCTACCCGCTGGCGTGTTTGTCAGCGTCTTCTCCTCCGAACAGATGCTCTTCAAACGTTTCCGTCAACAGTTTATCTGCAGAAATGAATTAGCTGCTGCACCTTGAAAAGTTGCCGGATGTTTTCATTGAGGAGAAAGCGTAGTTCAGGGCTGCACTTTTTGACCGCGATAACAACAGCGTACACAATGCGGCGTGGTGTAAAAAACAACAAGACGGCGGTCCTGCACCGAGCTGCTGATGGTTAACGGATGACCAACAAATCAGCTGAATGTCCCCCAAACATTTACTGGACGCTTCTTGCTGGGAGAGTAATGCCGTTGAAAGTACCCATTTTCTTGGTATTTAATGATGGTAATGAATGAATGTACTCAGCCAGAATCATCCATTCATGGCAATTATAGCCTCTTAAGTTTCATTCAAAGTCCAGCGCTGGCTTTGTTAATGCTCGATGTTGTGTGATCCACTTCTTCTCGAGTGCGACCCGGCCCTTCTTCCTCTGCGAACCGCCTCAGTGTTTTTCCACCACAGATAATCACGTCTCTGTGTTGACGTGTGCGGCTGTATCTCACGTGAGAGGATTTTACGGTCAGGAAATGGTTTTGTGACGTTAGCTAGCACGCTGTGGAGCGGCCTTCGTTCGTTACAACCTGCCCAGATCCTCTCACTTTCACAGGTCAAGGGTCAGATCCCACATTGGGAAGGTTTGTGAAGGTATGTGGAGTGATCTGTTTTTCTGCACAGCTCAAGGTGCAAAAGGAGGCACTTGACAAACGATTTAAAATGTTTCTGGGTTTCCTGCATATAGGAGGAGGAGGAGCTATCGAAGATGTGATGGGAGCTGGATCAGGGGGAGAACAGGTTTTAAGGCTAGTTTTAACACGACCGTTTAAAAGCGGATAGCAGGCCTGTGCAAAGTTCTGTTCATACTGAAACAGGCAATCCAAGGCCTGCTGCGTAGACCATCACTTGATTCTGAACATTGAAAAACACTCTAAGCTTCTGTGGATGTTTCTGAAATGCTGTGACTTTGCACTTTTTAGAGGATGTCTTAGCTGGTTACAGATTGGGCTGTGACACCGAGGCGTCCCGAGCGCATTGCTCAGACGTCACAACAGGATTTCTAGAGAATTTAGAACTTTCTGCGCCGTCGATGGATAGCATGCACAGATTAACGTCCTGCAGCGACTACTTCAATTACAACTCTTGAGAGATGAAGCATGAAGGTGTGGAGCATCTCCTCAAAACAAGCTTTTTTTTTTTTAAGGCACCATTTGTTTTCCTGCAACATGAGCAGTCGCCACACAGTGTTTACAGTCTGCTTGGCAGCCATTTTTGGATTGCACGTGGATGTCAACAGACGGGTCTGCGCAGCCTCTTGCAGGTGATTTACGTGACGCGTCCCCTCGAGGATGCGGAAAACACGAGTTGACCTTTACCATATTAATTAACAATGGCTCTGCTTCGGTTAAGGCTCTCGGTAAGTGAGCCAGCGTGGTAGCACTAACTTATCAACAACACCTGTGCTTTTAACGCTACAACATACCAACATGTCTCCTCTGATAATCAATAAGAAAGGCATGCACCCAATCTGCACATCTGTGGCCCCAAAATTGGAAGTTATTGAATTGTACCGACTTGAATATCCAGCATACAGTTGTCTCCACATATGTGCTTCTACCCATCCAGCACCTTCATCCTGACAGAACACAAAGAGAAACGACAGATGTAACAGTGGCGTGTTCAAGCGCTCTCGTTCCAGCGCGCTCGCGAGCTGCGTCCCAGGTGTATTTTTTTTTTTTTTTACACATAAAATCCCAGCAAAATATCTCAAACCGCCAATTTTAAAGACAACAGGATCGAGTGTAGATTATTATTTATTCATTAGCTCTTCATTGCTTTGTAACAAGGTTATTTATGGAACTGAGAGAGGGGTTTTTTTTTTTTTTTTTGGAGGCAGCAAACCTAAAGAATCGCTGTCTGTTAGCCCCGCTCTGTGCGATTTGTCTGCCTCTCTGCCTATATCCATCCGCTCCTGTGTGTATCTGTCACTGTCTGCCCATATCTGTCTGTCTGCCTGTCACTGTGTTTGTCTGAGGAGGAGAGGAACCCACCCACGGTTGTCTGGTCTCGATCTCCATGGCGACCTAATCCTCACCAATCCCAGAACAGTAGTGTTCCAGTTGAGACCCACTGTGTTACAGCAGCCTGTCATCACTGATCACTGGATAGAGTTGCTTCTGTTTTATCGGACTGGCTTTGATCCACATCTAATGACGTGTGTGTGTGTGTGTGT